AGCCCTTGGCCACGTGCCCATTGGCACTACTTTCCAGAAAACTGGTCTTCCTGGTAGCAATTACTTCAGCCAGGAGACTGAGTGAATTAGTGCCCCCCGTCCCTGAGCTCTAAAGCTAGAAGGCCCTGCACATGCTAGATGTTAGAAGGTCACTGCTCTATCATGTCGATAGGACTAGGCCTTTTCAAATTGATGAGGCACTCTTTGTATGTTATTGGGGACCCAAGAAAGGGAAGGCTGCCTCTTCCTAGTCCCTTTCCAGGTGGGTGGTAGCTGCCATCCATTCTTGCCATAAGGCAGCTGGGAAACCCTATCCGTTAGAGATGACAGCGCACTCCACCAGGGTGCAAGTTTTCTCCACTGCTTTCCACAGGTGAGTCCTGCTCTTGGATATTTGCAAGATTGCAGTGTGGTTGGCAGAGGACACATTTGTGAAGCATGACACGTTAGACCTGCAGGCGAAGAAAGAAGCAGATACAGGCAAAGCAGTGAGAGCATCACCCCACATCCTCTGGTAAGTAACTTGCTAATGCTCCCAGTGTGGGGCTGCACCGAAGACAGAAGATGAAAACAGAGTTGTAACTGTGGTTCATCGACGTCTTCTGTGCAGACACACATTCCCTCCCTCCTGCCATGCTGTGAGCTCTCACGTGGTTGCTCTTCTTCCTGTGTGGGGATTTGCAGCGGTCTTGCAGGAACTGAGGGAAGGGGGCGCCTGCCCTGGAGCACGTAACAGCTTGGGCAGGAAAAGCTGGCACATCGGCTCTAGAGGGGAGGGGTGCCTCCATGATAGCTTTAAAAGCTGGAAAAGTTTATTTCACAGCCAGCCTGCGTAGGTGCGGTCCCATTGTGTGTCTTCACAGAAGATGTCAATGAACAGCAGTTATAGGAAAGTGCAACTCTGTTATCCTGCTGCATCCTTGCCAGTTGTGTGAAGACCACATCTCATAATAACATAGGTGGCCCACTTAAAGATATGACATTATCAGTCCAGGGCTTCAGGCTTTGTCAGCTCAATTTGTCTTGTCATAATTTTGTTTTGAGTTTAGCTTATAGAGCATGGTAGAGACTCTATTTTTATTATGGTAAACAGTAAAATCAGAAATGATTGGTGATATGGAATGTCTACTTTAATACCACCACAGAATCTGTCAGTTTGATACATCATAAGCAATGTTCCCTCTAAGCTGTAGAGTCTCATGAGCAAAAATTCCACTTTGTGAGCTGGTGGCATTAAAGTTGTGAGTGAGTGATTTGGCTACTGCATCAATTAGTCTGCTTTGAAGCCCTCCTTCCTGAGCTAAGACAAAAATGTGTGAGCCAGAGGCTAAAAAAATGTGAGCTAGCTCACACTAACTCAGCTTAGAGGGAACACTGATCATAAGTTAATAGTGTCCTGTGAACTACTAGAAGAAATCATGTGTGATAATGGCTTTCATTTCCCATGTGAAAAATTGAATGAAAAATTCAGTTCATTGAATGAATGGACTTGAATGAATTTTTGAATTGAATTGAATGAATGCTTTAAATATTTCCCTGGTAGGTACCATGTCATCCACTTTTTAATAGTGTAGCATCAAGCGTGACTCAATTAATTAAATGTGCCTGGGGAAAGTACAGTACAGAAGATGATCTGTACAATTATCAGGGGATATGCCTCACCTCACCACAGTTGTATACTATATATTTGCTTTGGATACAGAACCTCTTTCTCTGATATAGCCTCCGTGTTTTCCACAGCCATTTATCTCATACCCCACGTTTTATTTCACCAAACAATCCATCAGTTCCAGGTAGAACAGATGGTACTGTCTCTACTTTCCATTGTTGTGCAACAATGGAATCAGCCGCCTATGGAGGTGGTGAGCTCCCCCTCACTGGCAGTCTTTAAGCAGCGGCTAGACAAACACTTGTCAGGGATGCTCTAGGCTAATCCTGCATTGAGCAGGGGATATGGCCTGTATGGCCCCTTCCAACTCTGTGATTCTATGATACTCTTTGGTGTAAATGGAACCCTTCTACAGTGATCCGGGTTAGAGTCAAAACATGCCTGGCTGTTTTTGGTTGTAATGCCTGCAAGGTTCATAAGGATCAGGTGGTACCCTCTAATATATTGCCATCTCAAGGCTTCAGTTAAGAATCACTAAATCTGTGCTGGTTTACCAAATAAAGAAAATCATCTGACTGGTTTGTGCAGTGAAATGTAGTAAAGCATATTCAACACCTCTCTGCCTGTTGAAGATTAATGTTGTAGAAGAGCAATCCGTTAAGTGAGGTGTCTGTCCCCTGTCTCCCATCCAATAATACCTGGCTATACGTATCAGTTAATGAAACTGAAGCTCAAATACTTTGGCCACCAAATGAGAAGGGAGCACTCACTGGAGAAGACCCTGATGCTGGGAAAGATTGAAGGTCAAAGAAGACGGGGACGGCAAAGGATGAGATGGTTGGACAGTGTCATCGACGCAACGAACATGAAATTGAGCCAACTTCAGAGGACAGCGGAAGACAGGAGGGCCTGGCGGGAGCTGGTCCATGGGGTCGCGAAGAGTCGGACTCGACTGTGCGACTGAACAACAACAACAACATACTTATCAGTATCAATGGCCCAGGGAATCTCTCCCAACCATTCAATTTCTGACATTGGGCTGTGACCGCCAATTTTAATGTTGTATTATTGTGTTTTAAAATTTTAATCATATTTATTGTATTGCTGATATGCTGTTATCCGCCCTGAGCCTGCTTGTGGGAAATAAATAAATAAATGAGGTATTCTGCCTGAGCTGTAGGCTCAGTTCAGACATCTTGTGAAGTTATGGAACTGTGATCAGTTTGTGAAATCAGGATTTGGCTTGCAGACAATTACCCAGTTTTTTCTTCTTTGTTTGCCTGTCTGTCCCCCCAGTTGCTTAAACATATATAGATGTGTTCTGACCCAGCCTAGGATGCTGAGGAACCCAAAAAAAAAAGTGCCTTTGTTGGTATATATCTGATTATGGCACATGGGAGGCTGATGTTAATTCACAACACATAAACTGTTTTATTTCATTAGTTGCTTTAGATTTTCCAGGTTGTGTGGCCGTGGTCTTGGTATTGTAGAACCTGACGTTTCGCCAGTAGTTTGTAGGAGTTCCCCAGGCTATGAACATGCTAATGGAGGAGCTTTCAGGTTGGCTAAGTCTGCAGTGTCTTTCATGCTGAAAAATCTGCAGTGGCTGAACATAGCCTAACTCAAACAGGACGCATTATTTTGTTCCAAGACACTGAAAGTCTGGACAACACTTCCAATTACCATGTCAGATTACACAGGGAAGCCATTGAAATTCATAAACATAAACACAATTTTTACAGGAAAGAAGAGAGTTTAAAAATAAATAGGGCATTGTTTCCTGTCCTGAAAAACACAAAAGGGCTCTACATCTGACAGTAGCACTACAGATAAGATTAGAATTTCAACAGCCAATCCACATACAAAAGAACATCCTCAGGAAACTTCCTCAAGAAACAATCCATATACAAAAGAACCTCCTCAGGAAAGCTCCTCCATCAGCATGTTCATAGCCTGGGGAACTCCTACAAGATAATGACTCAGCCCTTCCCCACCTTCTGGAGTAGATATAAATTACCTGTCTACCATTTTTCTTCTCACCTTGACACAGAGAGTACTCCATCTTTCTGTGTTATATCTCTAAGGATGCCAGTCACAGCTACTGGTAAAACGTCAGGTTCTACAATGCCAAGACCACAGCCACACAAGCCGGAAAATCTACAGCAACTAATGAACTCCAGCCGTGAAAGCCTTCGACAACATATGTTTTATTTCACATTTATGGTGCCAAGTAAGACTGTTAAGGAGGTTTCAGTTTTAAACATGGCAGGTGAAAAGGCAACTGGAATGAGGGGAAACTTTATATAACTATATACAGTAGACACTTTGTCACACAAATATAGCTGTTTTATTCTACATACAGGTGTTTATAACTTGAGAGAGATCACTTGGCTGTCACTCTTTAGATGAACAGGCATAAGCTTATTGGTCACAAAATTACTAAAGTCTGTCAAGTCAGGAACATACATTCAGGTTCCAATAACACTTAATAAAGATCACACACACACCCTTTCCAAGTGCTGTTTCCCTCAGAGAAGGACTACCAGTTCCATTACTCAGAGAAGGACTACCAGGATCCTCCTTGATCCTTCATTTTGCTCCCTCTCTTTATTCCCCCCACCTTCCTTCCTAACTGACACTCTCAACTGCCACTCCCTCAGGTCAACAGTAGAATTCTATTTGAACCCCCTGTCAATTAAGAGTTCAGTCTTTATATTTTTCACAAGTACATTTATATAAAACATTTTTCTTTACATGATAATAACCTTTTAACATGTCTTTTGGTGTTTGTTTGTTTGTTTGTTTTAATGTTTATATAGACACCACCACTACCCTGAGGAAGCACTGAGCAAAACACATTGGGGCACATAGAGTGAATTAAATTTATTCCCATGGCATCACTGTTTTGTTTCGTCATTCCTTGGCTTCTTTGATGCTGCCCTTCTTCTTCTTGCCTTTTAAAAGGATGGCAACTGTCAGGAACATCGGTGGAGGTGGAAATATCATCATCTGTTTGGCCCTCCTTTATCTTTTAAAAGCCATTCCCCACAGCTGCTGTGTGGCTACAGAGAACCTGGGCTCAAGTCTTTAAAAACCTTAACATGTAGTTTGGCCCTTAAAAAACCTATTTGAATATAGAAATAACAGCGGCCTAGACAGGCTGTGTTTATTTTTTAAAATCAGATCTAAACCAGTGTTTCCTTTATTTTTTGCAACCCCTTCATTTGTAGTGGAATGCAGACTATACTCATTGATCAACATTTATGAATAATATTATATAAGTGTAATTAGGAGGAAATAGGCTCCAAAGACATAAAACTAAATTAGGACTGAAAAAAATTGGGGTACTTCCAGGTGGATCATCTCATTTTTTTGTGTGTTCTTCTTGCAGCAGTTATGTCTTTGATTATGATTACTACAGAGATGATTTCTACAACCGGTATGTGTAGTTTTTATTCCTGTTTTGGGGTACATTAATTACACTCCTTTACTTGTCATAGTTTCATATAATTGTGTCAGAAAAAGTTTGCATTTATTCCTCATAAGACTCGATTTACTTTTATTGCTTTGTGATTTCAACTGGCTGGTTTACAGTTCATCATCAGGGCACATCTCATCAAGCTGGTGCCTCCATCTCAGGGTTCTGAGCCACATAAGGCATTGTGGCTTCAGATGCTGGTCTAATCCTGTTTGAGTCCCATTGCTTCCTTCCCAGGCAAAATTTTTCATATCTGTGCCACATAAGTGCCACCCAGGGGAGGGGGCACTGAATAGTGTACAGAAGCCAGTGATATCTCCCTAGGCTAGTGGTGTGGTACTAAGCGGCTCCACATCTCTCCTTATACATAGGATTTTGCATATGACTCCATTCCAGCAGTTATTACTGCTTATACCCTTACTTATACCCTTACTATTAAAACTGTTCCACAGAAATAGGCAACTCAGATATAGTACAGTATAAAATGTAGGGTTGCCAGGTCCAAAGGACAAGTCATCAGGGTTACTGGGTCACGCCAGAAGAGGGGAGGAAAGAAGCATGGTAGGCGACGCTCTGGGGGGGGGGGTTTGAGCAAAATATGGTTTGAAGCTAATTTTACCATAGAGTTTTCTCCAAAACCAAAGCATCCCCCCCTGACATTACCTACATGCCTACATCATGTCCGGGTGAGGTGGACATGTCACGTTTGGGGTATTAATTCTACCCTGCAGGCCAGGGCCAGGGAGGAGCACCAGAAACCCCAGATCCCCCGCATGCCAGGGGAACTGACAACCCTAATAAAATGGCATTTGTCAACAACATTTCATGTGGTTTTGCTGGCCTGCTGTCAGCTGAAAAGCCTTTTTGAACTTTGTGCTTTCTGAACTATGAAGGCATAACTGACAGATGCTTGAAGTGTTCCTCTCCTGCATATCCCATCGTGTAACCTGTTTATTTACATTACAATGAATCATAGATCTCAAGAAACAGTCAGTAAGAGGGGTGAGCTTTTGGCTATGTTTTAGGAGAGCCCTATTACAGTGATCCCCAACATGGTAGCCTCCAGTGTGTTTCCCAGCACTCACTTCCTTTTCCCATAAGCAAAGAGCCGGTCTTGGCTTTCCTCCACCTTACTGAGCAGGAAAGTTACAGTCCAGACCTTTGGGTCTACAGGGGCACCCATTTGGAAATAGCTGCCTCTATTGTTGTTGGATTCACAGCTTTCAGTTTCCCAACATTTTGTGAGCAGCAGAACCTGGAGTTGCCAGCTCTGGGTTGGGAAATACCTGGAGATTTGGGGGATGGAGCATGGGGAGGGGAAGGTTTGAGGAGGGGAAGGACTTCAATGAGGTATCTCTCCTTATATAAATTTGTCACTTGGGGTGGCAAGATTCAATGCGCGACAAAATCAATGTGCGACAAAATCTGCCACTCAAAAACAGGTCCCTGGCCACTGGCTGCATTCCAGATACATTTCCAGATACATGCTCTCCCTCCTTTGTGATGGCAAATCTGCATGTCAATCCCCATAGCTACCAATCCAACACAGTCCAGTGGCACCTTTAGGACCAAGTTCTATTCAGCTACAAACTCACCCTCCTCTGTGAGGGCAGATCTCTGTGTGCCCCCGCCCCCAATACCTAGTAACCCCAAAGAGAGCCCTGGTAGTGGAACACAGGAAAATTAAAGACAGAAAGCGGGACCTGATCTATGAGACTCACTTCAATAACAACTCCTTTCCTGACCTATCAGGTCACGCCTATTCTCCACTGCCCCCCTTCCCCAATGAGAGTCTGAAGCTGTCTTCACAGTGTTGGATCACTGGATTACCTAGCTCTGCACTATGTAATCCTACTGGTGGCAGATTCCTCACTACACTTACCCTGGAGACAATGCTGGATTTTATGTCATTATACCCTGCTCAGGTCACCACCGCGAGTTGACACTGAGTGCCCACAGCCGGGGCACTCTCCCACAGCCTCTTTCTAGAGCTCGTTGTCTGTATTTCCACAATGAGCCTTTTTCCTAGTAATGCCATAGAGTCCACCTTCCAAAGCAGCCATTTTCTCCAGGTGAAATTATATCTGTCTCCTGGAGATCAGTTTTAATCCCAGGAGATCTCCAGCCACCACCTTAGGGCTGCTAGCCTCCAGGTGGGACCTGGGGATCCCCTGGAATTATATATCTCCAGATTCCAGAGATCAGTTCCCCTGGAAAAAATGGATGCTTTGGAGGGTGGGCTGTATGGCATTGTGTCTCACTGAGGTCCCTGCCCTCCCCAGCCTCCATCCCTGAATCTACAAGAATTTCCCAACCAAGATCTGGCAAGCCTCCCCCCAATCCCCCACTTCTGGCCAAGGGAGACCTGGCAACCCTACAACCACCTGGAGGTTAGCAACACTAGCAAAAAAACCCATGGGCAAGCATTTTGTGGTGCAACCTACTACCTGTTCTCAAAATTCCAAAAGTGCCCAAAGAATCAAGAAGGATGGTGATCACTGTTCTATTATCTTACTGGCCATTTTCTATTAACATATGAATTGATGTCCTCCTGGCCAGGCAGACTGAAAGACTGAAAGCTGCCTGGAAAACTACAACCTCTTACCTACCCAGGAAAGCTGTGCAAAAGCCTTAGCAGAGTGCAATTCAGATATATGTTCTCCAGCATTGTATATTGTACACAAGTTACTTGTGGGGTGTTTTTATGCTTCAGTCTCCTGTCATCCAATCATATCTATCTCCCATTGATTTCTGTGAATAGTGAAATTAATCATTTGGTAAGCAAATCTGTCCTTCATTAGAGGGGGTTTTCCCCACCCATCAGTGCTTAGTGTCAGGATAGATCATCCCAAATGTTTCTGTAAATGTTACTGTAAAGGAAAAAAATCATAAAATTATAATTACAGAAATAAATGAAATCATGTGGAACACATTTGCCATACCACAAATAGACAACCAATAGTAACACTCACTGAAATTACACAAAAGCCATGTACTTGGGTGTGACCGAAATACAAATGTACCTCTCAACATACAAAGATCCTTGAAATCCAATTTTGCTTTATGTAAGGTCACTGTGATTTCAGAGAGCAACTTTCTCTTAGGAAACTGTGGTCTGCAAGATCTCCCTAACATCAAACCACAATAAACTACTCTGGAACCTCTGTTTTCATTTTCCCCAAGATTGTTTGATTACCACACCCGGGTCCCTCCACCACCTCGTGCAGTGATTCCAGTGAAACGTCCACGTGTAACAGTTACAGCAACCCGGCGAGGAAAGGGTGTATTTTCCATTAAAGGAGGATCACGATCTACATCAAGTGGAGCTTCTTCATCAGGATCGAAATGTGAGTTAAATATTGTTCTGTTTAGGTCGTATATGATGCAGTGTATAGGATGTGGCCTATTCACCCCATCCCTAAAGCTTTACCATAAGATTTTTTTTAGGAAGCTTAAAATGAATATATGGAGAAATGTGTGAGATGTGTTGGTTTCTAGACATGCAGATAGGTCTGATATGTGAATGAGGATTGATTGGTAAATTGTCAGCTGATAGCTGCCTAGTGCAGGGGAAAGGAGCAAAATTTCCATAAACAGTTCCATGGGAAATGGGGCAGTTTGGGAGCGTGCTACTAGCTGAAAAGCTGTGTGTTACTGAAGAAGACTGTTAACTTCCCCGGATCCTTCTCTCCATTTATGACAATACCTCTGCCAGTCACCCTGGCAAAGCAGTTTAAGAGGAGAGAGTGGATAGAGGGTCAGATTTAAAGTCAGACATTATTAAATACATTTTTATAGATACTGTATGTTCTGCACCATGCTCCATGCTCTTGTATAAGGTATACTTTAAAGGGTGGGAAGGGATCATGGTATTTGTGTAAAGTGCCATCAAGTCACAAACAACTTATGGTGACCCCAGAAAGAGGCTTTAAGGCAAGTGAGAAGCAGAGGTGGTTTGCCATGGCCTTCCTCTGCAGAGGCTTCCTTGGGGGTCTCCCGTACAAGCACTGACCCTGCTTAGCTTCTGAGATCTGACGAGATCGGGCTGTACCATGTTGCCTTCCCTCCAAAGACAATCATTAGAGTAATGTGAAAAGCAATGGAAAACAAACCCATTTTCAGCTGCCTTAAAGGCAAAGAAGAAGGAACATTATGAAATATCCAGAATAAAATAGCCCCCCCACACACACTGAGAGACCTGCTACAGCAACAGCATGATGGCAGTGCTGACCCCAAACAGCAGGAGGTGTGCGAGCACACAGAGCTCCATGGTAAGTTTCCAAAAGCAGATCTCTGTTATAGCCACGGCTGTTTAATTGTCCTAAGTAGTGCAGTCTGTATTTGCCATTCTATAGTCAGCCACCATAAAGACCTGAAAGACAGCTGAGTAACAAGTAAGCGATTGTGCCACTGCTTTATAAACAAGCTGCTAAGCAATAGAGAAGCACAGCTGAAAGCTTGTATAAAGCATTCCCTTGGGGCTCCAGAGCTCTCCAAAACAAAACAGACAGAGTGTCCTTCTTGGACTCTTCCCAGCAAAAATGTAGAAGATTCTTTACAAATGAAGAGGCTGCAGCCAGGTAAAGGCAATCTGAATGTGCCAGGCTAGGCTAGGACCCAAGTGTAAGGGGGGGGTTTACTTTACTCATGGGCTGTATAGATATGGGCTCGTGTGCGGGGAAAACATGCTAGTACTACGCTCAGCTTTAATCAGAGCCAGCCCCTTGCCTTGTGTGCGGCAGGAAGAAGTGGTTCAGTGTCTACCCATGATATTAAGCCCTCACATGTGCTACTAGCAGGGGTCATTTCCTGCGGGAGTGCACAGGAGCAGAGCTCCGGCAGTAAGGAGCCCAGGGGGTGGGCATATGCAACAAGCCCCGCCCCCTGCTCCCAGCAGCCCTCAATCAGGCCACGAGGAGCAAGAAGCAGCCAGGTAAATTGCAGAGCCCCCCCCCAGCCCGCCTTCAGGTACAAGCTCTCCCTCCTCTGTGAGGGCAGATCTGCATGTTCCCCCCCCCAATAGTTAGCAATCCAAAACAGTCCAGTGGAGCCTGAGCGGTGGGTGTTGCCTTCTGACACACTTCCGGTGGTGTCAGGAGGTGTGGCATATGCAAATAAGTTATGCTAATGAGCTCCTGCACTCCTTTTTCTACGAAATGACCCCTGGCTACTAGTGCCATCTATGAGTATGTGAGGGGAAGGATTAATCCCTCCCCTTCCCCTCAGTCCAAAATGCCTTGTTTGTGCATTGCCCAGAACAAGTCAATCGCTTCACTATTGCTGTATTGTAGGAAGTGTGATCTTGCCCACAGGGTCATTTGGGGCTCACGGATCAGCCTGCAAAGTCCACTTCCCACAGTAAATGTGGAGATGGAGGAAACCCAAACCTCTTAAATTTCCTTTCCTGCTTCTGTGCCATATATGAACTCATCCTCGAACCTGAGGATTGATACCTTTAAACCAGAACAGAGCACGGCACTTGAGTGGGAGGATAACAGTGGGGTAGCCTGCCAGTGGCATTGTGCCTGCTCCAGCACCAAGTGCCTGCAGATACCACTTTGATCTCCTTGAATTAGTTTGGAAATTGCATTAACACAGCTGCATTTTTATGACAATGCCCAAAAAACCTTTCATGAGCCCCGTGAATGACAGAAAAAGATACATTTCACATTCAGAACATCTGAAAATAAATTGGGGGAATCAAGGCTCCTTTTTCTTTTCTTTCTTTTTTTTTTTAAGGAGAGAAAAAGAAAGACTTTCATGCTTGATTTCCTCTTGGAATTGCTTCCTTTCTCATCCTCAGCAGGCAGACATTCAAGGGGGGGGACAGGAGGGAGACATGATTTTTGCTAATATGTGTAGGAACGCAATCAGTTTTGTAGAGCATTTAGAAGAACAGATGAGCAGCTAGTTTGTAGAATGCCGCAGGTATTGAGAACAATGTGTTTTCCTTATCGGTTTACATCAACAGAAAAAGTCTGATTTACTCGACATTTTATCATGCTACTCTATCATCTTTCCAGATTAAAATATGCATCCTACATTAGCAGTTTTTTTTAAAACTGAGGAATTCTGCTATTAAGGGGTAAAAACACTTTCCCCCTTCTAAAGTTCATAAAAATTGGACAAGGGCTCCAAGTGACCCCCGAGACTCATGTTGCTCAGTAATGGCTGAAGCATCACGCAACCGAGTCCTGCCTCAATTATCCCCAGGAGAACAGACATGTGCAGGAGGCTGGGCAGGAGGTGGTTACAGCAGCCTGAGGCATGTTAGAGCCTCTCCATAAAGAGTCTGCTCTTGGACAGGACAGTCTATAAAGAAAAGCGTCTGTGGCCAGGCAGTTAGCTTTGCAGGGGACAGAAGGGGAGGTTTATAATAGCTTCTAATGGATCTAGACAGTGCTTTTCTCTCTCCAGGCAGAACAAGCAAGATTACACTCCAGAGCAATATAGGCTGGTTTTGTGTGCGTGTATCAGCAAAAATTGTGGCAGGCTGCATGTTTCTAAAAGTAGCCAATTGTCTGCTAGCTATAGAGCAAGGCTTAAAATGTTCCCAGCTTGCTTCCTTAATGAACTTGAGGGATTTGCATCTTGCTTTGAATCTGACTAATTGCTGACCAAGGGGTTTGGATAAAATCCAGTGCCTTGAAAAAGAAATCTTTCTATCTTGAGCAGAAAGTTCCTTTAAAATTGAAAGTAACAGCTGACTTGGGGCAGCAGATGTACAGTGTTGTACGGATGTTTCATGAGAAACTTTGCTTTCTGCAAGAAAGGGTGAGACAGATGTTCCCTGAATATTTGTATGCATGATGTTGCAAAGGGGGAGGGGGGATGCTGAACAGTTTTCTCATTATAGTGTTTATGGATCCAAAGTAGACATTGGAAGAAAACAACATATACTATTGTTTCATTAACAAATTAATAAATTTTGACTTGGTAGCTTCTAGCAGTTTTTATATTAGTGCCTACGATAAACAGGGTTAAATAAAAATATATCACTTATGATAACATCCACACATAGCTGGATCTTCTGCCAACACAATCACTTTCTTACTTTGTTTTCCTGTGCAGACCAGAATATCAAGGAGGTAAATTATCACAATAGTGCAACATCTAACAATGTGTAGTTCCAGTCTATCAGTGCAGTCCAGAACAGAGGTATACCCTTCTAAATCCATTGACATCAATGGGCACAGAAGGATGGGCACTAGTTCCCCTTGTCATACTTTATACACAGAAGATAGAGAGCAATCCAAGTAAAGGATGACTTCAATGGACTTGGAAGGGTTTAACTCGGCATAGGACTGTACTACATACTGTTGTTATACCCGGGGCTAACACAAAGCACTTTCAAAAGCATGTCCTTTTACAGTGTAGATTCTGAGCACTGTATCAAAATTAAGTTAGTCTTTGTCTGATGAGGGCAGTGGTTCTGGAAACAGGCTTCATTTACCCTCAGTGACACATCTGCTTGGCTCCATGTCATTGTGAGTCATCCCACATGCTACAAAAGTTCAGATTGGCTGGGATCACCCACATGACTGATGCCAGAATCATCGCCCTCTCTTTCAATTGTCCTCCTTTACTTTTAATTACACCATCTCTGGTGAGATCTGATTGGTGCCATGGAGTCATGACACCATCGTATTCACTGTGTGATCCCTGAAGGGCTGTGACCATGTCACTATTCCCAGGAAGTAGACCCAGATGGGGGAGGGATGGCAATGCGTAGTCTTAAAGTAAGGTGCTCATCCTTAGTAGCTTTTGGGAAAATATTTCATCACTCTCCTAAAACGTTCTCCTCCACCAAACTGAAATAGGTAAACTTTCAGTACAGGCCAAATATACAACACATTCTAAATTCCGTGCTTATTGGCCATATCCATTTTTTTTAAATGCAGTTGACATACTTGATGCAACTTCATTCTCTATTCTGTGCTAAAATATGATAATTGCCATTGAGAATGAACTGACTCTCAAAATGCATCTATACACATGGAAAGAACGTCCCCTGAAAAAAAACCCTAATGTTTAAAGGGTTTTTCTTCTTCCTAATATACATACACATACACATAGGAATATATAAGGCTTGAACCTGAACACACCTCTCAGGGCACAAAGAAGAGTTTATGTTGGAATTCCTTTTGTTAAAATTATTCGTTATTCATGGTTGGTACCTTTTTTTGTCGTTGTCGTTGTTGTTGTTCTTTTTCCACTTAGTGAAATCAGATGAGTTGCAAACAATCAAGAAGGAATTAACTCAAATCAAAACAAAAATTGACTCTTTGCTAGGGAGACTGGAGAAGATTGAAAAGCAGCAGAAGGCTGAAGCAGGTAGGTGAAAATGATCTATGGCTGTTGGCAGCTCATTAAAAGGTGAATTAATCCAACGCAGAATTATCAATCATATTGTCAGTTGGGAGATGTATTGTGGGGAGAGGCCGCAGCCATCCTTCCTCTGTAGTTGGGACTGGTACATATCCAGGTAGGACTTATGACTTTTACATAACCAAAAGAAACTTCTGTAACCAATTACCTGTTACCAATTTCGGCGCCTCTGCGTATTTAAGTATATTTAAATTGGTAGCATTGGACATACATAGGATGAGTAAGCACAGCTATTTTCAAGAGAGGCTTTTGCCAACTTTGAAAACAAAGAGATTCCTTAAATAAACAACCAATGTGAAAAGAAAAGATTTGTAGATAAATTTATGCAGGCTATGTAAAAATCAAAGGTAATGGGAAATTAATTACAGACTCCTTGGAATTCATGTGTGAGTGTGTGAGAGTTAATCATGAGAGTTAAGGAAGACCTTTTAAAAAATTCCCTTTCAACCACTTGTTCACTGTGAATCTGACAGGGTGGTTAACAAGGGTTAAAAAGGTAAATTTTAAAAAAGCCATCTTGGGGGGGGGGAAGCCCCCCACCCCATCAGTGATGGCCAGCTGGTGGTTTGAAGGCTGCATCTGACTCCTTTGCTTATTTTTTCCTAGCCTTTTCTGTGAGAGGCACTGGCTCCCAGGGGAGGGAAGCGTGCCTTTTGCCTTCCTGTGACATTGCACAGGGTCTCAAGGGAATCCTCTTATTTCATCAGGTGGGGGGAGTGTGTGAAATGGCAGGACCCTTTAAGCTGGACTGAATGACGGCTATACGTGGTGCTTTGCAGTGCTTGAGGTGCTGCTTCTTATTCACTAGACTCTGTGGAAAATGAGAGGATGCTTAAACTATCTCTGTGGTATTACAGGGCCTCAGGCTGGAGACCATAACCATGGTGGTAGAAGTGGCTAGTGGCATTGTTGTAAATGGTCCACATTTACAGATGGTCCAGATTATTTTCCAAATAATATATGATGTGTCTATTATAAGAGAAACTGTTGTTTGTATTGAATGTTTTAAAATATATAAGCTGTGGCACCACTGCTAGGTGGAACGAATACAGCTCACACCACTCTCCAAATTCCTTCAAACTAATTCTTTGTGTGACCATCTGGCCATACTGTGACATCTCACAGCCATGTGGCAAGATCTCGTCTCACCATCTGTGGCCACATTCACCACCTGCCCTGTCCCCCCCTCCCCAATGCCTGTATGTATTGCCACCTCCTAATGAGGTCCTGCACTGTCTTTCTTGACATGAGATGGATGGCACTACAAGTCAGGGCATTTTCTGCTGTGGCACCATATAATGCTCTCTCCCTGGAGCTCCACTTGGTACCAGACCTGTTGATTTTCCAGTGCTGGACAAAAATTTAGCTATTCTCCCAGAATTTTGGGGAAAGGTGGGAGGAAGAGATTGGGGGGGAGGACAAATTGTTTGCAGTGTTTACTCATTTGACCCCCAGTTTGTAAATAATAAATATTAGAAGGAGCCTTGTTAACCTGAATGAACTGTGCAAGTGGTCATAACACTGAACTGCTGTTTCCTTTTTTAAAATCCTCACGTTCTTGGACAACGTAACTCAGAGGTACTTTGAATGGAGTAAGGAGAAGCTACTGTCCTACAAGTGGTTATTCTCCAGGAGCACCTATGCCTCTGTGTAGCTCACCATGCTCACTTACCAATATAAATATTGTTATAAAAATCCATAGAACCAGAGGTAGATTCTCACAACTAATATAGTCCCAGAGGAAATTGTTATGAATTTGTGTATTCTGCAACTCCCTGAGAATTCTACAACATGAATTCTTTGTATTATACCAACATATTGATACAAATTTGGTACAAGATATTATTAATATAGATAAAGTGATGAAACAGCAGCGTAAAGAATTATCTTCTGGAAAGGTAAATCCCCATTATAGAAGATTCAACATAAAAGTTATTACTATGCAAAAGAGCCTACATGAGAATAGACATTGGCATCTGATTTGCAATTTTTATGGAAAAGGTTGTGAATTCATTTAAATACAAATCAGAGAACCTGACGATCTGCACTGAATTATATTGTTCTTAAGAAGAAGACAGACCTAATGTTAAAAGAGAGTTCAGAGTCTATTCTTCAGATCTGAACTGACAGACAAACGTATCAGCAAATCACACTCAGGATAACACTCCTCTTTGCTTCCTTCCTCTCACTTGTCCTCCTCTACTACATTTTCTAGATGGGGAGAGTTAACAAAGCACCCATCTGAGGCACCTGTTTTGTCAACTGTCTCCAGATGGACCACAAGGTGGTTATGAAGAGGGAGGAGAAAGGGAGTGGGTAAGGAGACTAAAACAGGAGTAGGCAACCCATCTACCTAGAAACATGTTGGTGTGCTGGCAAACAAAGTGGCAGAGGGAGATGAAGGTTATAGTTGGGCCCACATGCTTGGCGCAAGCCAAGCTCCTGTGGCACTGCCAACATCTCAAGGATATGCCTTGGCTGGTAGCTGTATCACTCTGGTAGACAATGGGTGCGTTCAGATGGACAGCTAATCCCGCCATTATCCCGGCTCAAATTTGATCCTGATCTTTTTAATCCATCCTCGCACAACCAGACATCCCCCGGGGGAATCACCTTACCACACGCTGCTTCTGCTGTGGATTGTCTAGACGGCGTCCACTGAAGGAGGCACACGCGGTGGGGGGGGGTTAAAAAACTTTTTGTACATGCGCATAGGCATGATATTGCTGCCTTGTTTATCGGCACATGCACAGAATCAAGATTTTTTAAAAATGGCACCCGTTCGGGATGGTCTGACGTCAGACCAACCCGAACGGGCACCATTTTTGATTGCGCGCTGGAATGATCAGATGAGGGAAAGTCCGCGAGTGGCCTGTCAGAACTGAAAACTCCAGATTTAAAGTAGTATCTTTTTAGTACGGCTCCGAGGCGCGGCAGAACAGGATTCCCACAGAAGATGGACGTTTCCCAGATGTTGATGTCTGGACATTACATTTAAATCTATGAGGCACCCGTGCATCGCGCGGATCTGAAGAGCCGTCTGAACACACCCAATGATGGGGAAAAGCCATGCCTGTTGCCTTATCCCACACCTGTTGCCAGTGCCTCAGTTGCTTGAGCAGAGCTCTAACCCTGGGTGTCAAGCAACAGTCTGATGTTTTACTGTTGGCATGTATGTCAGGACATGCCTACCCCTAGACTAGAACATTGCTATGCACTGTAAATATGTTTCAAGAGATATTAAAATTTGTACCCTCCTACCCCCATTTTGGTCATGGGACCTAAATGGAGAAAGGGCATGTGGGATTAGGAGGACTATAGTAAAAAAGAGAAATAGATGTAATTGAGTGAAAAAGATGGCTGGTTCCAACCCACACAGTTGCTCTGCCATTCCTATTTCTTGGATTTTGTGTATATAAGTTGCTCAGATATAAAATTTAGGTCCAGTAGCACCTTCGACCAACAAAATCTTCCATGCTATAAACTCCCCTGAGCCAAAGCGCACTGTGTCAAATACAGTGTAGTATCTGGTGAAGGGAGGTTTGACTCATGGAAGTGTGTACCCTGGAAAGTTTTGTTGGTCTTTGAGGTGCTACTGGACTAAAAATGTTGTTCTACTACTACAGACTAACACAGTTCCCCACCTGAAACTTGCATGGATATATTTATCTTAGGTTCAAAAGTAAATGTTATGTTTTGGTTACGTCATCCCATGTCTACCTTTGCTAGCATAGCCTAATCTTCCAGAACAAGAAGAAGAGAAGAGGTTGGATTTATACCCCACCCTTCACTACCCGAAGGAGTCTCAGAGCAGTTTACAATCCCTTTCCCTTCCCCTCCCCACAACAGACACCTGTGAGGTGGGTGAAGCTGAGAGAGCTCTCCGGAGAACTGCGCTTGAGAGAACAGCTCTGAAAGAATTTATGACTGACCCCAAAGCATCTAAATACATTTTCTGCTGTCCTTAGGATTTCTCTTTAAAAAGTGAGACAGAAATTAGTGTTGTATGCTGTTGTATAGCAGTGGACTCTAATCTGGACAAATTTACAGTTACTCAGGGCTCTTTTTGTAGAAAAAGCCCAGCAGGAACTCATTAGCATAATAGGCCACACCCAACAGCAGGAACTCATTAGCATATTAGGCCACACCCCTGACAGCACAGCTCATTAGCACATTAGGCTGCACTCCCACGTTACCAGAAGTGTGGTTATCCAGCCACACCCACCTTTTGCTTGTTATTCTGTTTACCTTGTTTGTTGTCAAAACCCAGGGCTTTTTTGTAGCAGGAACTCCTTTGCATGTTAGGCCACACACCCCTAATGTAGCCAATCCTAATGAGTTTCTGCTGTTGGGTGTGGCCTATTATGCTAATGAGTTCCTGCTGGGCGTGGCCAACTTGGGAGCCAGCCAGAACTCCGTTCCTGTGCGTTCCTGCCCAAAAATAGCCCTGCAGTTACTCATAGTGTTTATTCAGCCTATTTGAATGTCTTGTGTGAAATGTTTGCTGCTGTGACTTTTCAAGACATTGTCACAATCAAGAGGTTTTGATAGGAATGCAGGAATCAGGAACACATACCTTAGGGATGTCGATTGCTTAATGTCACAGTCACAGATTGCATTGCACAGCTGGATAGGTGCAGAATTTCTGTAACGTTGTCTGAAACTGCACATAGAAATAATAAGGGCTTTAGAATGTCTTGGCCATGGCCTTATGTTGAATTGCTTCCCTATTTCTGATCCTCCGACACTTTTTATCATATTTGCAAACATACCTCTAAAACCTTGATCACTTAAAATTTACTTTTTTACAAAATGATAATATAGATTCTCAGCAGATCTATGGAGTTTTCAGAACTGTGTGTGGAGGTTAATCATACTGGCCACAGTTCAGCCAACCACACGTGGTTTGCCTTGCTGACAGGGCCCCTATCCTAAACAGCAGCTCCCTGATACTCACAGCAAGCCACTTTTTAAACTCAGGAGACTTTCATAGGCAGCTCGTGAAGCGAGCTGCAGTTCAAAAGAAAAAAGATATGTCTCATTAGGTGTGCACAAGTCCTTGGAGATGCCTCAAGAAAACCTCTTGATTGTGGCTGCTATCCTGGATAATATATGTTTTATAGTTGGCATCATTCAGGGAATGGGAGAAAGTGCTCGGTTGCCTGGAACACAGATTCATTTCCAGAAGAAGACAGATGACTTTGCTCTGTTCTGTTCCTCTTACAGAAGCCCAGAAGAAACAAATAGAAGACAGTGTGGAACTGATTCAAGAGGAATGTATATCGGAGAATGCAGACAACTCTACAGAAGAGCCTATTGAAGGAGGACTAGATGCAGATGGTGATGGGGAAGAGATGACTGATGGCATAGAGGAGGATTTTGACGAAGATGGAAGCAGTGAGCTGGTAAGGAATTAGCAAGACCTCCATCTGTAACTGTTGACTTGACTATCATTGACTGTATTAACTAGCTTAGTAAAGCTAGGGAAATGGCCAGTTTACTGCTATTATGGGATAGTCTATATACTTTCCTTGATTGTGTTTGAATTCTACAGAATTGTAGTTCCCTTAGTACTGCTTGCATTTCATGGCCACTTGACTTGCCGTTGTTTCATAACCTTATATGTAAATATCTACCAAATGAGAACCCACTGCCTGCATAATCCACCAAGGTTTATACAGTGTTGTATAAGGGCTGTAATCCACCAAAGCTTATGCAGTGTTGAACTCCTGTTACAAGATTTAAAGGTGCCACTGGATTCTTGTGTTTTTTTAAAAATATGAATGCATGAGACTTTTAAAAAAAGAATATTCTAGCACCAACAGATGGCTACAGTCATAAGAACACTTTATCGGAAGTAAGCCCCATTGAATAAAATAAGACTTACTTCTGTGTAGATATGATTAGGCTAGCTCTCTAAAGCTCAAGTGTTCTGTGAGCCCAGGCAGTGCTGACGACAAGTCATCCTCACTTCCCACACCTGACATCATCTATGCTGCAGAGTATTTGGTAAAAGCTGATTCACTGTAGGTTTGCCAGCCCCACAGTGCCAGCTGATGTTTTCCACCAGAATGGAGGCAGGGGAAAAACAAAATTTAAAAATGGCCAGCAGCATGATGTCACTTCCCGAGAAACTCTGAAGTCATATCAGCCCTCTAGGAGAATCACCAAAAACTCTATGGTTTTTACTCTATGGTGTGACATCACTTCCATGTTTTCCTGGAAGTAACATCATGCTGAGGCCACACACACACACACACACACACACCATGGTCCTGACCCCTTGGTTTTGTGCTGGTTGCCAGGCCAGGCCTGGTAACCCTACTGATCAGTGTAATTCTTTGCAGTTCTGTGCAGTTCAGACCACTTTATCTCCCTTTTCTGTCCTGTTCTTGGGACCCAACTTGAGTTCCTGACAGGCAGACTGTCGCTGTGGGAAATAGCCCAGACAGGTTCAGAATACTACCATGGAGGGAGGACTCCTGCTTCCCCCCATAAGCCGTTTCTCCCCTCGAAAAAAGTGTTGGAGGACAAGTTATTTACTTGTTTTTGCTGCTTCACATGCACAGAGATCCTCATTCATTGATTCATTTTTATGTAATGAAAGCTGTTTGTTTTCTTGGGAGCAGTTTGTTTTCAGCCGCAGTGATGAATGGTTCTTGTGTTGTTCATTAGGCAAGTCTTCTTTCAGATACAGTCAGAAAGCCTGAGATTCAGGCAACATGCAGAGTCAATTTCTCCCCTGGGATGCTCTGGGCCACCCTTTGCAATATGTTGCTGTTCATCAGTTTCTGGTCCCAGCAGTGAACACAACTACACTTAATTGAGATTTGATTATTTGTGGAAATGAAAAAAGATCTACTAACTTAAAGAGGAGCTTGGGAGAACAGATGGCTCCATGAATGAATACGGGAACTGTATCTAAAGCGGGAGACAGAAAATGGGCTATTTACAGTGCAATCCTAAACAGAGTTACATCCTTCAAACTCCACTGAAGTCAATGAGCTTAGAAGAGTTTAATTCTTTTTAGGATTGCACTGTTAAAGAACTAAAAGTGGAATGACAGCACCACAGTTGCTCAGTTTGTATACTTTAATTTGTTTTCTTTCCCATTGTCCTCTTTATAAAACTGGTTTTAAGACCAAAGCTTTACCAAAGACAATAGTGGGCACTCCTGTATTATGTTCTCTTCCTGCTGTAAGTGGCCACAGGCAGTAGGCGAAGGAGGAAAACAGATTGCTGCAGTGGCTTGAGTCATGCCCATGAGTGGTCTGTGAAACTTTGCCATTTAGGCAGGGGGAAAATTTCCACCCACCAGATTACCCACCTATGCCATTTCTATCAAGAGAAGTGCACTTATTTTTAATATGACATATACAACTTTTCAAAGTTGTATGGAAAAATCAATTAGGCAAAACTCTGAAATATTTGTAATGCCGTTATATCAGCAGTACTAAAAATATTTCCTTCTAAGTATTTCAGGCATTCATTTGGCATGGTTTTTAAGCAAAAACATATCCTATGCCAGAATTACAAACATATTTTCTTGGGAAAACCTCTAACAGAACTCTGTAGAACTTGCTTTTAACTATTGTGCTTAGGATAACAACATTTCAGTAAACCAATCTAGTTTTGCCAAAGGGAATGGGGTGAAATCAACTTAGAGTCCAATTTTACACACATTAACCCATAAATAAGACTCCCTTCTTTCCTGAGAGCTGAAACTCGAGAAAATGTGCAAAGGATTGCAGCTCACTTCCTATTGCCGCAGGACCTTTCTAGACAATAACATGAAGTTCACTTTTATCTTAATGTTATATTTGTGCAAGGCCCAAATCAGTGCTGACTGTGTGGTATCCTACCACCGTGTAATGGAAAGTGATAGAGGTAACTTGCTGTAGGGAGGACAAATCCTGCTGTAGAGTGGAACGTTCTTAAAATTACTGGAAAAGATAGGGTGGGAATCACAGAAGATATAAAAGAATCAGTGAAACAAGAAGCAGTTATGTGTAGAGGAGGACAGTCTTGCTTGTACTTGGAAGAGCAAAGGGAAACTGATGGGGCTGTATGTGTATACTTACTTCCTGGATCCCCAGACCCTGGTAAAGGATACCCATTTACCCTCTCCATGCTTCAGCCTAGCTTCCACAGTGGAGGCAGCACCCTAGTGCAGTCAGGGCCGGCCCCAGGTGTTTTTGCACACTAGGCGAGGATACCTTCTGGCGTCCCCCCCCCCCATGCTGTTTCTGATTTCCAATCGCACCCTATGCTGAGAGACAATGGAATTACCTACCCCCCTCCCTAGTAGAGGTTGACTGGTTTGAAGGAGGCAAGGTCTGGGCCTCAAATCATGCCGCCGCTCTCTTTTCCCCACAACTTAGCCTGAGTGTGTGATTGGACCAAGTGGAGATGAACACTTCGTCAACCCCACTCCCATACTGGAGACTCCCCGTGAATCTCCAAATGCATCTGAGAATCCACAGCTTTCTGGAGTTCTCCCAGGATCACAGCAGACAAAGATCAGTTCCGGGGGGGGGGGCTGCCAAGCTGCACTGGAGTGGGGAGGGCTTTTCTTTGGCCTGGTTCCCATCTAAGGTCCACTCCCTCCCCAGATCTCCAGGAATTTCCCATCCAGGAGGGAGCTACCCTAGGGCAGCCATAGCCTGTTATGATCCCCGCCTTCCTCCCTTCTAAGAGCTAAAAGCTTATTCTCTCACACACACCGCATGACTTACTTCTTGCCAGGGATGGAACAACAAGCCCTTGAATGGGGAGGGAGGGTGTGGGGTTTGAATTTACCCTCCTTCCACGGAATATGGATGACGGCCAAGCTCAAAACCCAGCCAGGCAGGCACCCCCAGAGGCGGCCGAGAGCCCGTGGAGCCCGTGGAGCGCATTGCGGGGCCTGGGGGAGGCAGAGAAACTTTTCGCTGCCATTTCTCGGCGGTGCAGGAGGCGCTGCGGCCGCTACACTTTAAAGAGTGCCTTTAAAGAGCACTGAAGCAGCATGCGCCCAGAAAGTCATGCGGGAGGGCGGGCAAAGAGCATGCGGCGCGAGCTTTTGGCGGGGGTGGGGGGCTTTTGGCAGGTGAGAGGGTGGCTCAGTCTGGCGCCCCCAATGCCCTGTGCTCTAGGCGAGAGTCTAGCTCGCCTAGTGAGCGAGCCGGCCCTGAGTGCAGTGGTGGTCTTAGTATTTCTAGGGCATCAGGCAAAAATCAAAGATGGGTCGCTCCACACACCCTTTATTTCCACCCAACCCAATATGAACAAGAGAAAAGAACCCAATTTTCACCATGCATGTACCACAGTTTGCATTTCAACTTTACTCCCTTTTCTTCCACTATTTTCTGTCACCCGCAACAGCCTGCAGGTCCCTGAGCAATTGCACAGGCTGCCCCAAGGGTAAGACTGTCCCTTCCCAAGTGTGGGGGAGAGTAACTGTTGGATTTTCCGGTTTAGGGCCTTAATACTTATTGAACTACATCTCCTGGAACACTCCCAGGCTCCAGTTAAGTTTTTCAGACAGCCTTTTTCTGGTGGTACCCTTGCTTAGGCTTATCTGTATGGCAGCACTTAGGTCATAGGGGTTTTTTTTACCAGTAGGTCCCAAGTGGGTGTGGAAGGCCCTTTCCGTCACTGTATTTAGGAATGCCTTCTTTCAGAGGGCATTTAGTTGAGAGTAAACTGATATGGCTGCATTTTTAAAATTTTTGTTGATGAACCGCTGCCCCTCCTGGCAACTGGTGGGGTTTGGGGGGACTTACCAGGAGAGGGAGGGAGGCCTAGGTGGTGTCACCAGTGATGTGTCTACATCACTTCAAGTGTGCACTGGAACTGACATCATCACTGCAATGCTCTGGTATTTGGGCGAAAGCTCTATGATAAAAATAATTTCTACCATAGAGTTTTTGTCCAAATACCAGAGTGTCGTCTGGATGTCACTGATGTGAAGACATCATTTCCTGTGCATGCCAGAAGTGATGTTGCCATGACGTCATCACCTGGGCCTTCCTCTTTCTCCTGGTTAAGTCACCCCCCTGCTGGCCAGGATGTAAATATATTAAAGAAATCATTGATTCTTGCCCCATACTGGTTTGGTTTATTTACTGATTTCTGCAAGCAGTTTTGTGCCTTTAGTTTTTGCTCCTGCTTCTTTTTTCCTCTTGTTTTCCTCCAGTTCTTTTGAAACCACTTTTACACTGATCTTTTTCTGGAAGCTGTTTTTATTTAGTCTGCTTTTTGCTCATGCGTAATGTTTCTGTTGGTTTTCTTTGTCAGACCTAATCCCACCCACCTCCAACCCACTTTTCAATGACTGGACTGTTGTCATAATCAAACCACTCCCTCTCCTCCCCCTGAAGACAAATGGTTTCACTTTTTTTTATTTTTAAAAAGTCCCTAAAAT